TCCAAGAACATCTGGAGGCCCAAGGTTGGGGACCACTGCTCTACGCCAATCAAGCAAAGACTTATAACCAGTAACTGCTACTTCCCGTGTTGTTTCGATGCTGTATGCGAAGCTGGAGTGTCCTCTCCAGAGCACGAAGCCTGGGTAAAATAATATGGAGGATAGGCTGTTACCCAAGCAGCAGATCCTCCCTCTCCACATTGCTAAAATAGTCCAATGGAAAGGCAAGAGCCAATACAACTGGTTCCAGCAACATCGCAGGAATTGCCAGAACAACACGAACTGCCTCTAGGATTCCGGCTCCAGATTTTGCTTCAAGGTTAACTCCTGAAGCCTTTTCCATCAGTGGATATAGCCACAAGGTAGTGGAGGTTTGAAATTAGAGTTTTCCTTCTCCTAGATGGGCTGTCTTCCAAGGCTGATGAGCCCTACATACCCAGCCTGCTCGCTGATAGTGCAGAGATTAGAACACAGACCTCCAGCTGCTGGACCTTGTCTCCCAAGGGGACCACCACCTGACACTTAGAGCATTTCTACCCAGGCACCTCATTGGCAAGAAAGCAGTCATGCCACAGGTGTTACAAATGCAACAGATTCTGCACTCTCCACCTCAGCTGATTGGTCAGTGGATTAAAAAAGAGAGGAAGTCTGATCCTACCCCTAAAACCTTCCTGCACCCCAGGTGTATGCAATGCTGTTTGGATTTCCTGTTTACCAGATTAGAGTCAAAAATAGAATCAGAGAATTTAAAGCCAAAATCCATGCGGTCAGGGAGGACAAAGATCAGCCTAGAAAAAACCTCACCAAATAAAATGTCCTCCCAAACACAGCTCACCTCTTGCCTCGGCTCCTCTTCAGAAAAACATAGTAACATAGTAAATCACTATATAGTGAGACAGGCCATTGGTTTATTTGGCTGAATATTATCTACAGTTATCTTCCCTGAAACTGACCCCCATGGGTGTTCCAATAATACTTGCCTTCAGATTGCTCTCATTTAGAATGGATAAACATATGTTCCAGTTACAACAAAGAAGGAATATTTATAGATATCTTAAAAGATTTTACTGGTGCAGCTAGTCATGAAAATAAGCAGAGGGGAGCTGATCCTTAGTTTACTTTTAAATAATGTCCAGGATTTTCACTATAGCGATGTCAAGAGGTAAAAGGATTCAGTTTGCACTGGTCGAAAACACTTTGACCAGTGGTGGCTTTCTGTTTGCATTGGAAATGGAGACTCCCAGATTTTCTCAACATTCTCAAACTATAATTCAGGAGCACTACCTCAGAAAAGTCGTTCTGCTTCCCCAACCCTTACCTGGCTCACTTTTGTGATGTCAGAACGGCCCATCCCTTGATTTCAGGTTTTGTTCTCCAAAATCTCTGGACGCCTGATGCACTATGTATAATTAGTTGACTGGTTGTTTCTTAAAGTGCCCTAATAAAGGTGACCTTCTCCTGTATTTGTATATAAACCCTTTGAGTTTCTTTTGTTTAGTTAGCTAAGGCTATCTGGCTGAAATTTCTCAGTACTTTGAGAGTTAGTGTTTCCTTCTTCCATCCACATGTTCATGTGGCTTCATCCTGTGTATTACCTTTTAAACAGAAAACCAACTGCCTTGCCTGTGAAAAGCCAATTTCAAATAACCTGCTGTGAGCCTGATTTCTAGGTTCAGCTGAAGAGATGACCGAGCCTCGATGTACTAAGGGAGAAACAACAAATGTAAAGTTAGAACTGCCGGTTTTTGAGCTGCCCCCTGCAGCTATGCCTCTAGACAGCAAAGAACGGGTTAAATGTTTTATGCTGTGCGGTACTGATCCCTTAGTTAACAAACCAGAACCATGAAACGAGAGAAATGTATTTCATATTAAGTATAAGAGCAACGCACTATTTAAATTTTCAGCCCCGTTGGGCGGGGCTCCGTCCCTCCCTCTCTTTCTCTTTCTCTCGTGTGCGGCGGTGACTCACCTCCCGCAGGATTCCGCCGCGACCGGAACCTAAGGCGATCGCTGCGCCCAGGGAGGCAGAGCAGAGGGAACCTTGGCAGTAACCCAGTCTTTTCCCTTGTATAACTCATCCTTCCTCCAAAGTTATGTAGAAAGTACCATATTTTCGTCTTCAAAACAGCCTTGTGCTGTAAATGAGGCTGAGAAATAGGAACTAGCCTAAAGTAACCTATTTAGCTTCACAACTCAGACAGGACCCTCCACAGGTCTACCCAACAGAGTTCTACCTACCAGTTCAAGATTCAAATTCAATCAAACTAGCAAAGTACTACCCTATGTATGTACTCACATTTTATGTTAGTGTTGTTATTGTTTTTCTTTAACAACAACAACAACAACAACAACAACAACAATAAACAAAGTGCGACCCTATATGTTTTATTGGTCCTCATCCTCAGTCCAGATCTTGGACCGTTCGTGGTAACAGACATAGAAATTTGGAGAAGGAAGGCCTTCCAACAGGTTTCCTCTGTGCAAAAGAATGAAGCCTTTTCCGCTCTCCCCCACCCCCCGCCAGAAGATGCTATCCTGAAGCATTTCCCTTGCCCTGGCTTGCTTCTCCTTGGAGACAGCCTTGCCCTCTGCATGAGCTCAGGAGGCCCTGTTCTTTCACGGGGTTATTATATATCCCAAGATAAAGACACGGAGAGTCATAACACGAGGTGTGGTCCTTGATACAATGTAAGGTTCAGCAGCTGAAATATCCGTTTCGGGCGGCTTTATGTAATTACAGTTCCCAGCAACGCCACTAACTAAAAAGAACGGAAAGCCGGTGGTTAAAAAGAAGAAACGGGGGGGGGGGAGAGAAGAAGGAGTGTTGGAGGGCGTCAAAACAACGGAAGAAGAGGTCGCCCTTTCGCTCTCTTGCCTTTCCGTATGGCTGAATTTAAGACGGGCAATCTCCGCCGTGCAAGGAGCGCCCGTCCTGTTTTTGTAAAGTATACCTTTTGTCAGGCGTTGCAAGCCACCATACAAAATAAGTTCGGGGAAAGGTAGATTGCGCTTGGGGGAGGGGGGAACCTGCCGGCTTTTGGAGCGCCCCTCTGCTCCTGGGCGGACGAGCAGGAAGAACCAGCCGGCGCGGGGAAACTCCTCCACTTTATGCACTTTTTTAAAAAGTGGGGAGCGAAAGCTGGGAGCCCCCTCGCGGGGAGGTTGCAGGGAGAGGCAGGCCTGGGAAGAAAGGAGGAGCCGCCGCCCCTCCCTCCCTGCCTCCCGGGGAAAAGGCACGGCGGGTCCACGGCTGGAGGAGGAGGAGGAGGAGGAGGAGGAGGCCGGGCCCGGCCCTCAGGTCTGGGGTGGGGCTTGGAGCCGGAACGGGTTAGCTGGCAGCGGGCGACGGCGCCCCGGCAGCGAGAGCCGAGCTAGGGAGTGGCACTTCGGCAGAAGTTCCCTTCGAGTGCGGGCTGCTCCAACTGGTCTCGTCCTCCCGCGCGCCCAGCTTCCGTCGATCCGCCGCGATGCCCGTCAAGGGAGGCACCAAGTGCATCAAGTACCTGCTCTTCGGCTTCAACTTCGTTTTCTGGGTAAGCCACGGCGGGGAGCGGCCCGCGCCACCCTAAGGCGCTCTGCCCGGCCCGAAAGGGAGCCCTCCTTTCGCCCCGCGAGAGGCGGACTCGCTCGGACCAAAGGGAAACGTTTCCCTCCTTGGCGGTTCTCGTGCACCTTTCACTCCGGGCTGCGTGGCGGCCGGCCTTGAGCCTGCCCAACTCCCCCCCCCTCAGCCCTGTGGGCTTGTTTGTGTATTGAAAGCCCCGGCACCTGGACGGAACGAAGGGAAGGGAGGGGGGCCTTGCTCTCCTGCCCCCAGGACGGCCGCCGCCGAGGGCGTCCGCCAGCAAGCCTAGTGGGTTTTCCGGCCACCCCTCGGGGCCACCTTTTTACATTGCGCCGAGGGGGGAGGGGCGGGGGTTCAAGTCAGTCCGTTCTCCCTGCTCCTGCCCAATGACTCTCCCAAGATGTCGAGAGCCCCGAGGGCGAATTGAAGGGGACGCCCTTCCGTGACATCTAAGGCGCGCTCCCTCCCCCTGTTCGGGGTTCTGCTTGTAGGCCCCTTTTCTTCCAGGGCTGGCACCCTAGGCCTGCAAAGGCGCCTGGGTTCGGCGGAGGGATGTCCGAGCTTGGCATGTGCCACCTGGGCGGGCCCGCGGTGGGCAGTTCCCCCTCAGAAAACTGCTCCAGGGCGCGCGGGTGTACCTGACCGAGCCTGCTGGGCGGGGCTCTTTTCCCCTCCCAGGGAGGGAAGGGAAGGGAAGGAGGGGCTTGTTTTTGAGAGCTCTTAGGTACGGGCAGGCGGAACTCCAGCGCGTGGGAGGGCGAACCAGCAGCCAGAGTGTCGGACGTTCTTCCCTTCCCTGTCCTTATGCAACTTCTGAAGCTCAGCTGAATTGTTTCCTCCTTTGCAAAGCCACAGTTTTAACACAGTCCAGCAGATTTCCTCAAGGCTCATTTTTTTGTGCAAAGTAACTACAGTTGGTCCTTAAAGGGATTAGAATGGCCTGCTGATTAGACAGAGGTGGCATTCCCAAATAATCTTTGTCCTGGCCTCTTGCTTTTCGGAAATGAACCCCCAAAGGCACAGTTTTATACTCACCTGAGAAGAAGCCTTATGGAACTGGGGGAGGCTTACTTCTGAGTGTAGGTGAATAGAATTTCTACTAATGTAGCCCTCTGAGGCAGGGGGGTGTAGTGGCTAGAGGACTACCTTAGTACTGTAGACTGGAGTTGCAGCTTCAAATCTCACTTAAGGAAACTATGTGTTCTTGGGCCAGATCCTTGGTCTTAGCCTAAACTACTAAACCACCTGTGGGATGGAAAGGGTGTCATCTATACATGGAATGGATCAATCAGTATTTACATGATCGCCAAACCAATTCTAATTTTATAGACAAAAGCTAAGTATCCAGGAGTGACCACGGCACTGTTTCGGAATGTATTGTACAGATCATTTCGTTGAAACTCTTCATTGTGAAAAATGTTTACAGTAAAGCATAAAGCCCAACCCTGTGCCTGGTTTAAAATGCTAGCACTAGCATAATGGCTGAGACCAGGCTACAAGCCAGGAGGTGCTCACTTCGAATCTCCAGTCTTGAATCTTGTGGGGAAATTGCTAGACAAAAGAAAACGCTCTCAGATTCATTTTCCTCTCTGCAATAAAGGAGATGATAATAATGCCTGGCTGACAGGGTTGCAATGCAGTTTACAGGTAGGCAATATGCGTGAAGTGCTCTGAGCACTTGAAAGCACTTTTACAAAGATTAAACATAATCCAAGAGAGCTCATTCCATTGGTGAAGACGCTGGTTTTCATGCTGCTGGTGGGGATTGAATAAGGAAGTCTCTACATGAATGTTAAGTCAGTGCTTTGTCACGGAAGAGCTGTGCAGTGTCCATTTGGGCACCCTGAATTCAGGAAGAGATTGAGGAGTGAAATGGGGAGGGGGGAGGGGGTGTGGTGCCACAGTTGGATCACTTTTAGAAAAGAAGCTCTTTTTCAAGCTGTGGTGAAATTGGGTGGTCACCATTCTCAGCACGTGTGAAGATGTGCTCATGTTGACAACTAGTAAAATTTCCCTGTAAATTACTTTACTTTTGGTAACAAGATGAATACTCAAGACTTGCTCTCTTCCTGCCTGCCATCCTGTTATGCAGCTTCAAGAATAACCTGCTGGAGCAGGTGTGTATGTGGGAACCACACAAATGTAATTTTTTCTCCCACTTAAGGAATCTTCCTCCAGGTGGAGAAAGGAAAACATAAGAGAGCTGTATGAAATCCATACAAATGTTGAGTGGGACCACACCTATTGAAATATATCATGTCAGCTTAGTTTCCTTTTTTCCGACATATTTGCCTCAAAAGTGTGTGGGTGGTATTTTGATACCTTCTGGACCACCGGGCCTTAGTGCCCTCCATAACTGCTTTGTGCCTCCTTAAGTATTGGCAAACTCTAACAAAAGGAAAACAAATCCAAGAAAATTAACAAATACATGCAATACTATCAAATTTAAAAGGATTACAGAACTGGTCTTTTCACATTGTAAAATTTAGTAAAGAACATGTTTGCCCTGAATGAATGCAATTCTACATTCTTAACTCTGGGGTTTTTGTTTTTCCCTAGTTATTTGGAATAATACAGGGCGAGGCTGGTTGTTACTGCTTCTAAATTATCCAGTGCTGTTTCTCTCTGTGTGTGCACACATACATACACTTGAGAAAAAGTGAGAAATGAAAATGGAGGCTGCTTGTGTTTGGGTGTGTGAATTCTGATGGGAAAATAGAGATCATTTTCAGATAATAATGGCCTCTATGACTTGTTTATATGGATTACTGTCTCTCAGTTCTGATAGTTCTCCTTAGTTTGCTGAACGTGGGTATGAAATTAACACTGTTTAGTAGCTGGCTCAAAGGCAAGTGTTGAAGAGAAGAGTCACCTCAGAA